TGGAGCTAAATTACCAGCCACCCCAAAATATGTATGGAAGATATCCACAGCATCATCGGGTCTGTCTGAAATTCCTCCATTTTCCGTGTCCTTTAAATTCAACAGAGAATACTTAAGAAAATCTAGCACAACCAAAATTAATACTTCCAGCGAAGAATCAGTAACACACTGATTTAATATCACAATAAAGAAATTAAGCTAAAATAACCTGGCAGTTTAAGATAAACTTTATCAGCTTCTCCTTGTTAATCCAATGAACCCGATCAATCATGATCAAGCTAGAAAGAACCCACCATGAGTAGCAAACCTGATATGATCCAAATGCAGGTCAGAGGAATAAAAAATTCCACAGGAGCAAGCACAGTAATAAATCCAGCCTTTCGTAGCTTTACTCACATCAGGTAGTTTCTCAGGACGGCCGTTTAAACCTCCAGATTTGACTTGTCGCTCACATAACCACCAACCAAGCAGGTCCTTGTCAACAAGATCCAGTGAACCCGTTATAGCAAGAGCTCCAACACAACAGAAAACTGACAGAAGGCAGAGATCATACTGAGCTTCAAATCTACAAGCCATTTAAAGGGCCTGTTCATTCAGCTTTTTTCATGAAAAAAATCGTTTTCTTAAAAGGAAAGAAAAAAGCTTTTTTGGGAAATAATAGAATTTTAGGATATTTGCTTAAACTCGTAAAAATAATCAGGGTTTGAAAAAAGAAAAAGAAAACATACTTCTGATTAATCAAGTGAAGGAAGGATTTCTTAATAACAATTTAATGTTGAACTACAATGCGACGCAGAACTATTGGTTTTTCAGGGAGGGGGTGTTCTGAAAAAGGATGTGAGATCCTTGTAATTTTATCAAAATTAAGGGAAATGAAGGTAAAAATGAAGTAAAACATTTATATTCTACTCTAATTCCATGAAATAATTAATTTTTGAACTAATTCTACAGTACACACATATTTGGAAAATGATTTGTTTGCCCCAAAATAGTCTCACACCAAACATAACTTAGAAACATGCCAGATTTTATTTCAAAATTCTGATTATGTGCGAGATTCTGAGTCATTTTTCACTTCTCATTGAATTGCAATCACATTCATTTTGTAAAGAAATTGTATCAATGCGTCTAGCTGTAATTATTTATCTGCTGTAATCATTGTATATGTGCAAGATTCTGAGTCTCTCCTTTTCCCCAGTTTTGCACTAGTTCCTCAATAAATTTGTAGACAAAACAAATAAATATTAGTATCCTCCACATACTCTTTTCCTCCCTTAGCATGTGTTTAAGACTTTGCCCCCACCAAACACTAATACATCTATTATTTGCATACCACAATAATCAATCATTAATCAGACCATGACAAAGCCTATGAGAAGCACCGAGGAAAGAATTGAGCAACAATCAGGATATTAAAATAAAAGCAGCTACTGATATCTAACATACTTTGCCCAGCATGAGATTCCCCACCCGGTGTGCAACCAAAGCCACCATCCATATTTTTGCAGCTTAAAATGTACCTCACGGCCTTCTCCACATTAATTTTATCCAAACGATGTAATATTGATAGACAAGATATGGCAATATATGAGAACCTGAGAAAGAATTTGATGAGCTTAAATCAGGAAGACAAAAGGCACAAAAAGGCTTAATCTTCCAAGGTATCATAAAATGTGGATAGGTAAATTACCGTGTATCAACTTCACCCCAAATATCCCCGGAAAAGGATCCATCTTCATTTTGCAGGTTAACAATATCTAACATAATTGTTAAGAAACATAGGATCTAACATACTTTCTGGCCAAGGAAATATTTCACTGATGGGGACTAGCTTTTTGTTCACAAATTAAAACTTTCAAATAAATTTTTATAATGACAAGGGGCTAGTTTAGCGGAGAACTGGAAATAAATATATTTCCAACTAAAGATGCGCATCCTCATAAGCAAAGAAAAGCATCAAAGTTGAACTATTGACCATTAAATACTTTAAGAAACAAAAGCTTCTGCACAAGAAAGGATTTGAGAATGCAAAGCAGTTCCCAAGTCAAACAATTTATATGCTAGAGGATACATTTTGTCACCTTATCCACATCAATAATGTCAAGCTTGTTAAAGAGAGCCAAAACCTGAACAGCACTTAACGTATACAGAATGTGTGGGTCATGTCCAATGTTACCACTAAATCCCCCTAAATAACACAAGCATGTCATCAAATAAAAAAATTCACAATGTACTAAGGGTCACTAAAACAATTTAACCCTGACCCAAGAAAGTAAGAAATCAAATTAAGTTTTAATTAACCTGATTCATGCTGACAACTCATGACCCATGAAACAACCTCATTGACATCCACAGTGTCTAGCTTGCCGAGCAGATCAAGGGTAGTCAGTCCCCAATATGCCCCATTCATTCTTAGATGCTCCATCACCACAGACTCAAAGTCATCTTTCCTCTGGGATCCCAGGAAGGAAAACCATAGAAGAAAAATAAATAACACAAAAGACATGGAAATCTTAAGCATAAAGCAGCTTTGAAAGCAGACAGTAACTCAAGATTACATCTTTTCTTCAGTTGTAATGCATAAATGGGAAGCATACCTTTTCAGCAGCTAAAATATACTGAACATGTTTCTCAGTCACCAGCTCCCCCATCATTCAAGTAAGCTGCACCCACCAATTAATAATGACCCAATCAGAGATAAGTGCTTCATTAAACCCACAAGTTCCTTCTTTTATAAGAACATGAGGGAAGGTATTACAAGAGACTGACGCCACTAGTATTACAGATATTTATGTTTTGCTGAAAGGCAAATGCCCTGCACTCAATGATCTATTTGTAGCCCTAATACATTTCCATAAAATCATCAAAGTTAAATGGCAATGTTGTCAAAACAGCCCATCTCAAACCAGTCCATCTGGGCCAGGCCATTAGTAAATAGGCTGCCTGTTATGCGTTTGTATCCAGCCTAGCAGGTTAAAGAGAGACCGACCTGTTTATGTCATGGTCTGTTTCCAAAGATCAAATAAGCCGCAACTATCACACTAAAATATAGCGATGAACTCTTAAAAACCTATTCAGCCAAGCAATAGCCAAAAGAATGAAATTTGCTCCTTATAATTTCAATGCTCAAATTCATACTTGCCCTGAAAAACTTAGATGAGGACTTCAGTAATACACCCCACCCCTAATGAACTTCCACGGTTAATACGCCAAAGATACGAATAAGAGAGACCGACCTGGTGATCCTCAGTGATGAAGTCGGCGGCGCGGGCAGTGGAGGCTAATGCTTCAGAGTGCGCTTGCTGCTTCTGAGACGTGGGCACACTCGAGATTGGGGGGCAGGAAGACGCAGGCGGCTTGATTGGAACAGCAACTAAGGCGTGATTTAGGGTGTGTTTGGTAGAGCGTTTTGACAGCGGTACCGCACGTTGAGGCCTAGATTAATGTTTGCATTCATGATACACCGAATGCGCTCATGTTATGAATACGATGCAAAAGCCATGTTATCTCAAAAGCTAAAATACTCAATAATTTGGTGTTTATAAAAATATTTAAAGGAGAAAAAAAATTAAATAATAAATTTTAGAAAAAATGATAAAAAAAAGTCTCCTATTAAAAATTCAGTTCGTGAGAAAAATCAATAAATTTTTATACATATAAAGTACTATTACTCTGTAAACTTTATATATACAGAGTAATAATATTTGTACTTTGATTTAAGTCTTTCTTATCAATTAAATTTTTAACAGGGACTTTTCTCAATTTTTTATAAAAGTACAATTTTACCCCTAATCTTATGTCTTAAGTGCACCCAAAAAAATATCATGGATAAAATTGCATTAAAAAAAGTTCATGTGCAAAATTATGCAAACAAAAAAAATGATCATGGGTAAAATTGCGCCATTAAAAATATCATAATATTAGGTACACATGAGAAATGAGAGTAGGACTAAAAGTGTACCTTTACCTTTGTGATTTTAATATTTTTCTTAAAATTATCACATTATTATTTAATAAAATCCATATCTCTTTTAGTTATTTTATATCCAAACTTACTTTTTCATTGATCATCCAAACAAGTTTCAGTTTCTCAAACTAATTTTTTTTGTAAAAATCAATCTAAACATAAATCACATTACACTATTTAACTTTTATCTAATTTGACTTTTAGCAAACATGAAAATGTTCACAGCCAACTTCCAACAACTAAATTATTAACCGTCTTCTAAAAACAGTTAAAATTAATTAACAGTATTGAATATGTCAAATTTTGGATTTTTTTAATGAGAGAGATATTAATAACAAAATAGAAAATGAAAAAGAATGTAATAAAAAAAATACTAATTAAGAACAAAATTAATAAAAATACATTTAATGTTAAGACAATTTTAAATTTTTTTTAACGTTGTGGGACAACCCTAAATAAAACCTTATAAAATGTATCAAACCAATTTAAATTTTTACATAGGGATAGTATAGATTTCATTTAATGTTGAGACAACAAAATCTTGTAAAAAGGATAAAGAAAACAATCTGATGGCTCTCAATTTATATTTAACTTTGTCACAAAAAATTTATATTTAATTTGCATTTTCATATGAAAAGCTATAGACACGTCAGACGCCACCCAGACAAAGTGGCAAACTACATAACTGTGGGCAAAATTTTTATAAAAAAAAAAAAGAATGGAAAAGAGAAAAGAAAAGGCAAGAGCGAGTTACGTTGAGGCTCATGGTCAACGCAAGCATGCTCAGGTTGAACTCAAGTTGACTCTCGAGCCGGGTTTGATTATAGTTTCTTTGAATAAGATATAAATCTTGCTCTATTCTGTAACATTTTCCTCCTTTAATCACGATTTCAAAACCACCTTCTTCTCCCCACTTCCGTCCATTGAACCCCCTTTAATCTTTTTTGCCTCTGCTCAGATTTCTCCCATATCTTCCTTTCTTTCTCTTTTCTGGTGCTTCTTCTGGGAGTGGCAAAGCGACAGGTGGTCGAGAATGGCGAAGGTGATGGCCACACTATTCTTCTCCTTCGTTGTTCTTTCTGGCATCAGCCATGTGAGACCAAATGCGTCAGATCATAGTTACAAAGAAGGAGATATAGTCCCCTTTTATGTTTCAAAAGTTGGGCCATTTAACAATCCCAGGTAAGTAATTAACTCCACTTGATTCTTTCTTATCTCAAATTTTCAATTTGGTTCGAGTAGTGAGTTCTTCATGCTTCATTGTCTTTTTGCTGAGGCAGAAATCACAGAAGATATTTATAGTAATGTTGAACAGTTACTGTTTGAGTTTCCTGTAGCTTTAATAAAAACCTTGTTCTTTTCAGTGAAACATATCGTTCTCATGATCTCCTTTTCTGTATGCCAGGTTGGTTTCAGTCCTTCATGATTCGCCCTTCTTATTCATTATCCATCTTCGTTAGTACAATCACTTTCTTTGTTTTTATATGGACTGCAGATCATGCCAAAGAAAAAAAAGAAGCGTTTGGTGAATTCTTAATAGGAGATCGATTAGTCAGTGCTCCTTACCAACTTGAATTCCGAAGGAATAAAAATTCTGAAGTACTTTGCAAGGAAACACTCCAGAAGGAAGACGTGGCCAAGTTTCGATCTATGGTTCAAAAGAACTACTTCTTTGAAATGTATTATGATGACTTACCTGCCTGGTCTTTCATAGGACGAGTTCATCAGGAAGGAGAAGACCCAAGTGACAAGAAGTACTACATGTACAAGCATATTCACTTTACCATCTTCTGCAACAAGGATCGTGTTATTGAAATCAATACACGGCCAGTGCCTGATGCGTTTGTGGACCTTGCAGATGATACTGAAAGAGAGGTGGAATTTCTGTATTCTGCAGAATGGATAGATACTGACACTCCTTTTGAAAAGCGGATGGAGAAGTACTATGCATCATCCTCATGGCCCCATTTGTTCTCAATCTTAAGTTCGTGTGTGCCAATTCTCCTTCTAACTGGGATTCTCGCAACTATTTTAAAGCGGGTCCTTCAGAATGATTTCAAGTAAGAATCTTTTCTAGTTTCTGCATTATCTGTTTTAGGTTCAACCTGTCGACTTTGACAGGACTAGGACACTTCAATTTTGTGCTAAAATGTATGATGTTACACTTGTTTGTCTCCAACATAGGTATGTCCATGATGAGGAATCTGCCAAGGATGAAGAAGAGACTGGTTGGAAGGATCTCCATGGAGATGTATTTAGGTTTCCCGAGTATGGGTCTTTACTTGCGGCTGCCCTTGGAGCTGGTACCCAGCTGCTTACCCTGTAAGTTTCCTCTGAGTTCTAAACCACCGCCCCCTTATGTGTAATCTTGATTGTTCTGTCTTATAAGTAATATTTGTGCATGATTTGCAGCATAGTGTTCATATTCATTTTGGCGTTTTTTGGTGTATTCTATCCATGCAATCGAGGGGCTCTGTCTAAAGCAATTGTTGTCATATATGCACTAACTTCAGGATTTGCTGGCTATACTGCAACCTCATTTTATTGTCAGCTAGAAGGAACAAACTGGGTATGCACTTATGAGCCTTTTCTTTCATGGGATTCAGTACCCCTTGAGATTCTAATTGTCATCTCCAATCATTGATTATTGCATACTTGTACTTGCTTATTGCAGGTTAGGAATTTACTGTTGACTGGATGCCTCTCTTGGGGACCCCTATTTCTCACATGTTTCTTTCTGAATACTGTTGCAATTGCTTACAACACCACTTTTGCCATTCCATTTGGCAAAGTTATGGTGATAGTTCTCATATGGACTCTTTTAGCATTGCCCCTACTTGTGTTGGGCGGGATTGTTGGGAAGAAGAACAAAGCAGAATTCCAAGCACCTCGCTACACAAGTAAATACACAAGAGAAATCCCCCCATTGCCATGGCACCGCAGAGCAATTTCTCACATTGCAATGGCAGGGTTTTTGCCGTCTTGCGTTATATGCGCCGAACTTTACTACATATTTGTCTGTCTTTGGGGTTTCAGGATTTACGCTACCTACAGTACCTTGTTCATTGTCTTCATCATTCTCTTGATTGTTACTTCTATAACTACTATGGCTTTGACATACTTCCAGCTTGTTGCTGAGGATTATGAGTGGTGGTGGAGGTATGAAGTTACTGTGTCATTAATTTCTCATGCTAACTTTAGCTTTTGAATCAATCGCTAAATGAATATTGCTCATTGGTTACTCTTGTTTTAATGCTTCGGGAGTGACATTAAACCCACCAAAAAAAAAAACTTTTGGATACACATAGCTTCCACGTGAAAACTTCCACAGCAAAATAGATGTTAACCCTGATGAAGTATTACCCTAGACTGCCACCACACCTTGGAGAAAAGTGTCCCAAGAATGCCTGCTTTGTTGATTTATTGATGCATTCTAATCTCCATTATCATCTTCTTTTGACCTTCCGCATCGTTGCTTTGATTCTTGGGAATCTTCTGTATATTTGAGGTCTGCATGGTTTAGTCATTTCACTGATATACTTTAGCCTTGATTGTTAAATAGCAAATTTTTTATTATGTGTTCACTGGGTTTAACCTTTGTATTTCCTTTTAATGCAGACCATTTCAGTATGGTGGATCAGCAGGATTATATATCTATGCCTACTGCTTCTACTACTACTATGCTCGCTCTGATATGTCTGGGTTCTTGCAGATCTCATTCTTCTTTGGATACACGGCCTGTATATGCTACGGTTTCTTTTTGATGCTTGGAACTATTGGATTTTTTGCAGCTTCTCTCTTTGTTCATCACATTTATGGATCCATCAAGTGTGAGTAGGCAATTTCTTTTTGGGTTCTGAGGTCCAAGAACAGCTGAAATTGAATTCTTTGTATTTATCATTCATATAACTTAAAAGAGTCAAAGTGACAAAAAAGACTATATTCTTTTGGCCAGTGCATGAGATTGTATTTGGGTTTGTATTTTACCTTTAAATTTATGTTAGTTTCTAGTGATAAACATTAAATGTTTTTTGACATAAGGATGCACAGGTATGGACCATTTTCAGAAAAATCAGCCTGAACAAAAGTATTAGAGGGGGGGAGAATAAGAACCAGGTAATATCACTTGGGGGACACTAATAATTAGAAGAAAAAAGAATCAGACTAATTGGGACTTCAAGCTTTTTGTTTGTGAGTTGAATCAATTGATCCTTTATTTTTATGAAAGACGATATGTTATTATTGGGTTTTGAATGTACTTGGAGATGATCTTCGATATGTTTTTTGCCCATACGAAATATATTCCCTGATATAGATATAGACTTTTGATTGTACAACAAATGCACAGAGAGGAAGAGTTTTGGGGAGAGGTTCTTCAAAGAGAAGAGGGAGTAGTTTTTCTTTTGTAAAATTTGCTTGTGCGTATATTGTGAAATAACCGTACTCCTACTCTCAATTAACCGTTCCCACCAAAATTCAAATTGAAAATTGGGCATTCTACTAATATCTACCCCAATCTTTTGTAAATTACAACTAGACTGCAAACATTTTGGGCTTGGGCCTAACTTGATGGATTAAGTTTTATCCCAACAGTTATTGACCGTGATAAGCTTACACACCCTACATCCCAAAATATAAGTATCGGATAACTAAATCACACAATTTAAAAAGTTGATTAAAATTGATTAAAGACTAAATATGTAAAAAATATAACTTATTTTTTTAAAACACTTTTACTTATGAGGTATTTACATATCACTCATCAATAAGGCCTCACATTTGCAGAAGGCTTTGAACTCAAAATCTTGTAGATGATAAACCAATTCTATATTAATTAAATCCATATTTATGTTAACACAAACATTGATAACAAAAAGGAAGAATTAGCATAAAGTTCGAAGGAAGGAATTTAATTATTAAAAAATCCTAATAACAAGTAACTAGTGTGTGTGTATCTTATTTTTCTTATTATAAACCTTATCATTACAATTAGCTAGGGGTGAGCAACAAACCCATTACCCGCTAGCCCGGCCATGACCCATGAAATTTTTGTCCATTTAAACCCGCCCAATTAGCCCAAATAAGATATTATAAACGGGCGGGCTTAAATGGGCGGGGTAGCCCATTAAACGGGTTGGGTTATGGGCAAGGTATTGGGCTGCCCATACCCGCCCATTTAAGTTTTAAGTTTTTAAAAATATTTTTATTCTTCATTTAATTGATGATATTGTTTCTCATTCATCTTTTATCAAAAATTCATGCTTGTCTAAGCTTTTATTTTATCCTTTAGGTAAAAGTTGGAATTTTCAAAGTTTATGAGACTTTATGATTAGTGACTACTTTTATGATTTTATCAGACTTTAATTGTTTGCGAATCTAAGTGAGTTGTGTGATTGAATATGGTTGATGTTATTTCATATTTGATTTGCTATTTGGCATGTAAAATTTATTGACAGCTTCATAAGGTTACATATACAAAATAATTATACTGAAAAAAATATATAAAAAAAATAAATGGGTTACCCCGTAACCCGGTCAGCCCAAACGGGCTGCCCCGTAGCCCATTTAATATGGGCTAAATGGGCTACTACCGGGTTATGGGTTAGCCCATGCCCATTTATAAATAAATGGGCGGGCTATGGGCTAACCTTCGGGTTAGCCCACCCCGCCCATTGCTCAGCCCTAATTACAATTGTTAAACTTTAGTAATTAAATGCGTTCGGAACCTGATTGTAATTCCCTAACCAAAAAGGGTCGCCTCTCGGGCGCTCAGTCCCTCGTAAACTTCATCTCGTCGTTCTGGTTGCGAGTCCAACCTCATGCTAATGTGACCCAATTCAGCCCAAAGTGTGACCCGACCCGACAGTTGGATTTTCATTGGGCGCGGGGAATGGGTGGGCTCGACGCTGCGAGCTTTGGCTTCTCGGGGGAGCAGATGACTTCTGCCACTTCTCTGCCTCCGAACCTTTCCGTCTCCTTCCTTTCCTCCACTTCTAAACTCTCTTCCCCTGTAAGCTTCTTCGCTTTCTCATTATCTTCAACATTTCGTATATGTACTCTGTTTACCTGGGAAAATTGAAGGAAACAACCGGAAAAGAACATGCTTTTTCTGAATTTATTTCACTGAACTAAGCTGAATTATTGTTATGGATGAACATTTTCATGAGATACGTGAAATGTAGAGTATGATGCCATCAATTTGACATCTTAATTACACATCAAATTTGTTGTTACTCTGCAGATTTGTGTTCTGCCTGCGCGTATTAATAATGGTCGGGGGCCGAAAATTTATGCTCAAGCTGCAATTTCCAGCGATAGGCCAGGTGGCTTGCTTTTTCTTTTTATTGTTCTGTTTTTTGTGTCTTCCCTCCTTTGATTTCTTTTGAGGTGTTGCGGTAACTGGTCATGTTTACAGGCGCATGTGATCCGGAGCTCCGCGCAGTGCTTGAACTCGCCACGGACTCCGAGTTGTATGAGCTTGAAACAATCCTTTTTGGCCCAAGGTGGGTAGAATCTTCTGGAATGTGAAAATTGTTTGAATTTCTTGCAGAGTAATGTGTCGGGTCATAATTTAAGTAATTCTAGGTGTCTGAATAGTGATAAATGTTTTTCTTTTTACATGTATCAGCTACTTCAGCCCTTTGCTAAAATCAATCCCGAGTAGAACTGACTTTGACCGGGCAATGATTGGGGTGGACCTTCAAGAACGTGAAGAATATATAGCTGCTCTTGAGTCGCGATTTTTATTTCTTGCAGCTGATGCCAGGTCTACGTTAAGGTTACTGATTGCATAATCTTTTTTTTTTTGGGGGGCTCTGCCAAATCTTTAGTTAAGAATTAATCGTATAGCACTGGGCCATTGATGTTGTTACCTAGCTTAAGAAGGAATGCCTAGCTGCGTTATCACTGGATCCTTTTTTTTCCCAAATTGATTGTATATGTTGTTGAATACTTGATCTGGGCAAATTGTTTAATTTGGTTAATTCTTCGTAGAGGCTGGAGGCCATCTTATAGAAATGTCTTGCTTGAAGTGAGGAAACGATTAAGCATCCCTTGCTCAAGCAAATTGTCAACTGAAGACCTTGAAGTAGAAATTTTCCTTCACTTATTGCAGGATGATTTAAGGTACCAATCTTTCAGCCCAAGCTATGTATGAATTCTTTTTGCGGATTAAATGGTGCTCAGTTTATTTTTCACCCTGCACTTTTCTCTTGTAAATTTATGGGCAATGACAAGTGTCTTTTTTATCGCAATGCTGGCACTCTTCCCCTGTTCTCCTTTGTTCCTTGCATAGAACAAAGACATATTTAACTTTACAAAGCGACATGTGAGTTTCTTGCAATAAACTTTAAGATGGCCTGCCAATTAAAGCTGCGAGAATTAGCCTATTCCTTTGACACTTGATGTGTTTTCTGCTCTCCATTTTATGCTGATACTATTAGGCAGCAGTTTATCTTTCCTGATAACCACTCCTGAGAACCATATGTTCTATGATTCATTGGATACGCATTTGTTTCCTTTTTAGATGTACAGTAATGACCTAAATCTTGCATATTTCTGTAGTGAAAAATCAGAAACTTCTGTAGACTTATTGGATCTTGGCACGGCGTCTAATGTTGAGGATGGCCAACTCAGTCAGTGGAAAGCGCAAGTTCTTGCAGCTGTAAAAGTTGGTGCCGGCGAGTTTCAGTCAATGATTTTAAAGGTATCTTAAATGGTTCATAAAGATACTTCAGATGGAACCTTTTTTTATTCATAATGATTTGATTTAATTTAAGGTGATATATCTCTTCTAATTCTTTATTTTCTCTTGTCCTCTTAAGGGTGGTGGTATATTTACATTCACAAAAATATATCAGTTGGTAAGAGAATGGTATCCTTGTTTTATTGTTGTCTTAAATTAGTTTCCAATAGAAAGCCATTTGGTCTTTCGTTTCTTTTGATGACTAGGTGGTATCTTGTAGTTAGCAAGAAAATTATCTGGGAAATTTCTTCGAGAAGCTGCTAACTACCAGATTAAGAAAGAGTTAATGAAGAAGGTATGTATTGGCAGGGACTGGGGTTTGATAACCTAAAATCTGTTTCTCCCAACCATTGACGTGCACTCTGTTCTCCATGATTTCCAGGGTGGACAGTTAGCAGTTTTAATTTAGAATCTCGGGCAGCCTTGCTTGCAGCAAAACAGGTGACAGACATTGGCTATTTTTTTGTTTGAAAATTAAGGTTTTATGATTTATTCATGGGAATGCGTTGAAGCGGTCATTGAAAGAATCTGTTAATATATTGTTGTAATTACTATGATGCATTCCATTCAAAAAGCCTAGATTTTAAAATATTTGAATGTGTATCCTGTATACTTGCTTTCTCTAATGTATCTCATTGTTACGATACTTTAAAACTTGATATTATACTTCAATTTTATACCTACACTAAACACATTTCTATGCCTTGCACAGAGTCTCAAGGAAGTTTTAATGTTTATGACTTATTAAATAATATGACTTGTTATAGATTTTATATTCATACCTTCATGATATGCAGCTCCCTGGTTCAGCCCAGCTAAATATACATTTCTGAAATAACTGGAGCATAATGCTATTACTGGAACTTTTTGCATTTGCATCTCTTTGCCGTGCATAGATTTGGTGCAAAAAAGAAGAGGATTCAAGTTTTGAATTTTAAACCATTCTTTCTTGTCCGAACTTTTAACTTTTCTAGGGTTTTCTTGGCGCTGCATCAAGATATGTGGGCATCAGAAGCATGATGACGCTACTTGGACCTGTGTATCTTCTTCACCTCATCGCATAACTAAAATTTCTTGAAGCTGTTTATTTTTGT